GCTGGCATTCTATTAAAAGACAGAGCTTACCCTCGAGGCACAAGTATCCTGGCATGCAAGTATCTTCAAATCTGGAAGAAAAGTCTATGCAATGTGCCATTTTCCAAAGTGAGGGTTTTCACTTAAGAACTCAGATGCAGGCAGGAAGCGGGCAGATAAAGAAAGGAAACAGCTTGGAAGAAATTTCATAATCGATTGACTGACATATGGTTGTTGGTTTTTTGCCCAAATAACATCACACTAGGAATGGGGAACTCATGTAAACCCATACATAGCTGTCAACACATGTTATGAAGGGGTAGCTGAGAGAGTTGCTCATAGAAACCATGCTAGTGCGTGTTTTCATCTTCTTGTCTAGGCACTTAAAAAAAAATCCAGTCTAAATTCTTAGAACATGGGGCTCCAAAGTGACGTTGGCCAGCTCTTTGTGTTCATGGAGCAGGAATCAAGCAGTGCTCAGTCCTATCCCATTCACCCCCAGCCACAGGCCCAGGGCTAGAACTGCCCTCTGCAACATCCAAGAGATACCTAAGAGAAGTACAGGTACAGGTGTGCCCACTGGTTTGGGAGATTTGGGGTGATACTGGGGGGTCATTCCAACTGCGCCCCTTGCTATTTTTCTACAAGGGAAAGGACTACCATAATTGGAAACCTCCTCTTGTCTTTTCCCTCACCTCACGAGGTGGGTTTGGTGTCCACTAGACTTCGCACTACTTCCGCTGGGCTGCCCACCCATGGAAGCCCTTCTGCCAGTCAAGATGTCTCAGGCCTCTTCATTGTATTCTTTCAGGCATCTCAAATAGGCATGTTTTATTAACAAGGCTTTTGGATGATTAAATAACTTTGTGCTGGCTTAGGCTCTGTTTATTTTAACTGACTGGTGGATTTCTTAATTCATACTATATTGCACTGGATTTAGTTTGGATTTTTTTTTTTTAATTGTACCACCACCAACCTCATGCTCATCTGTTCGCCACCTTAAATTTCCTTTGAAAACAAGGTGGGGTAGAATTATTTTTAATTAATAAATAGTCATTTGTAAGTACAGTACAGAGTGTGATCCCGTAAAATTGTATATTTCTAGCATTTTTCTCACTAAGCACAATGATAAATTATAAGGTGTGCACATTTTTTGTTAAACTTTTGAAACCAGAGGAGGCTTTCCTTGCAGTTACAAGATGCAACACATAGCCGAGATTATTAAAATAAGGATTTTGTAACCTTTCAAAAATACAGAGAGAGTGCAATCGTTTGTCCTTTAGGAGCTATTCTACACCGTACACAGAATAAGATGGTAGAAATTTGGACAGCATGTTGCTTGGGGGACCATGATTTTGAATGTTGCCCCCATGTAACAAGCTCTCTGCATCCTGTGAACTAGGACATCAGAGAGATGGCTACACAAAAGTGGGAATCTTTTCTATTTGTTTTATAAGAGGGTACTTAAAAAATAAGAGGGAGCATTCAAGCACATGACCTTCCCACTTGTGGTTCAGTTTAGTTCATTCTGCAGAATAAGTAGATTGACTCCAACTCTCTCCTCTTATATTCTTAGCTTCATTTTATCATACCAACAGCAATATCATATTTGTACTTTCTCATAAACTATCTGCTTTTAAAACATAAATGAAACCATCAAACCTTTACAGAGATCTTCTATCACCACAAATATTCAGGCACGTCATGAGGTATTTCTAAAAAGAATTCCTTCTATCTACAGGAATTAAATGGCAAATGCAGAGGGAAGCGAAAGGTTACATCAAAACACTGATGTTAGCTGTGTATTCTTGGAAATCATACCAGAAAACTATTAAATGAACTGTATAATTGTGCTTTCCAATACATCAGACATTTCTGGAAGAGATTTAACAATGAAGCAGAACCAAACGTATGCAAAAATGTAGCGGTATAAGGAAAAGATATTGCCACAAAGCATCTAGCTTTAAAGTCATGCAGCATAATGGACACTGTGTACTTAGACTTTCAAAAAGCTTTTGATAAAATCTCTCAGCAAAGACTCATCAGTAATCTTAGCAGTCGTGATATAAGAAAACAGCTCCTCTTGTGGATCAGTAGCTGACTAAGGAACGGAAGCAGAGAGCAAGAAAAAATGGACAGCTCTCCCGGTGGAGGGATATAGAAAGTGGAGACTCCCAAGGGTCAGTATTTGGACCTGTGCTTTTTAACTTGTGCACATATGAACTAAGGTTAGGGGTGAGCAGTGAGCTGGCCAGGTTTACTGATGATACTAAACTGTTCAGGGTCATGAAAACAAAAAGGGATCTCTTAAAAATTAAACTTGCAAATGTAATTCAATGTAAGCAAGTGTAAAGGGATTCTCATCACTGGGAGAAAATCCTAATCTAACATATACACTAAGGGGGTTTGAGCTAGCAGTGAATGACTGAGAAAGAGACCTCAGGGCCTCTGTGTAGATAGACTGATGAAGATGTAGACCTAGTGTGTGGCAGCTGTGAACAAAAGTGAACCCTAGGCTAGGAATCATTAGGCAAGGAATTGAAAAGAAAGCTCCCAATTTCATAATGTCATTATAGAAATCAATGATGCAACCACACTTGGAATACTGTGTACAGTTTTGATCACAACAACTTGAAGAGGAGTTGGAGAAGGTTAGAAAAGGGCAACCAAAATGGCTGAGGGGTTGCAGGACCTCCTCTATGAAAAAGGTTACAACATTAGAGGTTTTTTAGGGGTGTGGGGTTTGGGGGGGAATATGAGTATGGGAAGATGTGACAGTAGTGTACAGTGGTACCTCTGGATGTGAACAGGATCCGTTCCGGAGCCCCGTTCGCATCCTGAAGCGAACACAACCCGTGTCCCCATGTGCACAGGTCGCAATTCGCCACTTCTGCGCATGCGTGTGACGTCATTTTTGAGCATCTGCGCATGCACGAGGGGCAAAACCCGGAAGTAACATGCTCTGTTTCTTCCGGGTCACCGCGGAGCGCAACCCAAAAATATTCATCCCGAAGCATATTTAACCCAAGGTATGACTATATTGAATTATACACAGCATGGTATCTGAAGAAGTGCGCATGCACACAAAAGCTCATACCAATTACTAACTTAGTAGGTCTCTAAGGTGCTACTGGAAAGAATTTTTTTATTTTGTTTCGACTACGGCGTACCAGCATGGCTACCTACCTGTAACTAGAAGCATGGAGAAAGTGGACAGAGAAAAGTTTCTCTCCCTCTCTCATAATCTGAAAACCCAGGGCCATCCAGCAAAACTGAATGGTGGAAAATTCAAGGCAGACAAAAGTTAACTACCTCTTCACACAGTCTATAGTTAAAACTAGGGCAGTTGTTACTACAAGTTGTAGTAATGACTATCAATTTGGATGGGGATTGGAGGTAATGCACCTCTGAATATCAATGGGGGCACAGCTGGGGAGACTCCTGCTCCCCAGTAGGCTTCCCATAGGCATCTTGCTGTTTATTGCAAGAACAGAATGCTGGACTAGATGGGGCTTTGGTCTAATCCAGCAGGGCTCTTCTTATGTTCTTAAGGCAAAATTGCTTCTAAACCTTCATTTTGCCATGCTCTTTTGCTGTTTAATCTTTTGAGTGTTTCAGAAATGAAATAATGCTCTGCTTGTACCCACCATACCCCCTGTGTATATTCAGTGTTGCTTTACAAATTTGGAACCAAGCAATGTTGGATAATATTTTGCCTGTGTTTCCCTACCTACTTGTGAACTATAACCAGTGTTTTTTTCTGGGGGGACACAGGGGTACGCATACCCCTAAACATTTTGTGAATCTTTGTACTTTTGTCCATTTACTGTATTTATTTTTACCGATTTGAACTATAAAATGGTGATTTTCTTGAGTCAAAATGAGAGTACCCCTAAACATTAAAAAAAAAAAAAAACACTGACTATAACTATGCATGGACATTTTCATTTATAAAACTTGTAACCAGTATCAGGTGCAGTATTCAAAAAGCAGTTAGATAATTTAATGAATTTAAGCTGTCTTTCATGGATGTTATGCCCCCTCAGCTTGAATAGGAAAGTTATGTCAGGCACCCATGTTGGGAGAAATGTAAATTGCTGACCTGTGGTCACAGAATCTGCTATAACCTATACCTGGGAATAAGACAGAGCTGGGTGTACTGAAGACATTAAAATACGGCCTAGCAGTGCAATCCTACACATGATTACTCAGAAATATGTTCAATGAAATTTACTTCCTAGTGAGTGGCTTCAGGATTACAGCCTTAAATATACAATAATAATAACTAGCTACATACCACAGGTGTTTCCTCTTTTAGTCTTTTTCTTTTTTATATCAGAAATGTATTAAGATTTTTTTGGAAATAAAAGACTTAATATTTTAAATGCTATATAAGGTGCGATGAGATCCTGCTCTTTTGACTTCAAGAAACTAATACGACAACCACTCTGGAAGTTCTTCCCATGCAATATGTCTAAAGTCTACAAATTTAAAAAATAACCTAAAACTGGAGAGATATTTCAGTACTTCTAGCAAAATGAATCCAGTCTGCAAGGAATGATAAGTATATTTTTTGTAACCTTGAGCACTTTCACATATTCAAATTATTTATAAGCTTCCACAACAAACTGCTGTCATTTCATAGCATAAAAATGGATGATGAGTGAGTGGGATCATGGGTTTCCACATAACTCTTTCCACTATATACAACAAGCTCTTTTCACTGTAAATAACACTGGAATAAACTTGATGTCAAACGGTTAAGCAGCTACACTTGAAAAACTGCTATCAAGTGATTGTTACACAACATGGCTTTGCTCTCACACTATATTATACCAATTTCATTGGGGGGGGGGGAATCAAGAGCAAAAGCATTTCTAAGTGCCATATATACACACAAACTCCAAGTCTCTTTCTCTCTCTTTCTACATATATATATATATATTTAAAAGCTTCCTACCTTTCTGTACACCAACATATTTGGGGATTCATCAGCCACCCCGTTGCTGCTCTGTCCATAATTATTTCCTTGTGCCATGTCTGAATGGTTTGGTCTGCTGGCAAGTCTTCTGCAGTGCAATTTGCCTCTGTTGAAAATGAAAGTGATCTCAGTCAGAGATTTTGGCGGGTCCCCTCCGGATGCTGACGATTAAGCGCCCTGACTTCCCAACAGAGCACTTCCAAGTGCTACTTTCACTCACCCCTGTGACCTTGCCCCAGATGCTGCCTTGAGGGAAAGTAGCCGTTTCCCCTTGGCCACCCAGTTCATCCTGTTCCCCTCTGCCTATAAATAAGGCAACCCTACACTTTTCCAATGCTGTTTAGAGTATTATTATTTTTTTTGAAAGGCTACAGCAGTGTGCTAAGGAGAACCAAGGCGATGCAGGCACCCTTCTAGCGAGCGCGGTCCCTCGACTCCCGTCCAAAGCAGGCCACTTGGCCGCCACCTTTTGCTCCAGGAGTCAAGGAGCGAACAGCCTCCGGCTGCAGCCCTTCCTAATTGCTCGCTCGGAGGCGAAGCTCCTTCTGTGCCTCATTAAAGCAAACCAGCCAGCCCAGCACCGTTCCCTCTGCGACACGCAGGCGGGCAAACACACGTGTCTGCTCGTCTAACATCCCCCCCCGCGCGCCGTGCGCGCATCTCTCTCTCCCCAGCAGGATCCATCCGGTGCCTCCCCCCCCCCCCCATGAAACAGTTGCTGGACTGGAGGGAGAGCTCAGCTGGTAGAGCACGAGACTCTGAATCTCAGGCTCGTGGGTTCGAGTCTCCAACGGGAAACACATCCCTGCATTGCAGCGGGTCGGACTAGATGACCCTGGGGGTCCCTCGCAACTCAGCGGCGAGAAGAACGCGCGGTGCCTCACTCTGAGTGGAAGAATGCGACCCCGTTCAAAGATGGCAGAGACCTGAATAAAAATAACAAGGACTGTTCCGCTCTCAGTCCTCCGGCCTCGGCGCCAGCCCGGCTCGGGCGCCCCTACCCTTCCCCGCCAGCGGGCGGATGGCTGCAAATGGCAGGCGGGCTTGTTTTGCCCTGCAGTGAGGAGCCGAGGCTGGGCGCGTGATTTCAGCACCGCGGACAGCGCCTCCCGCGCCCCCTCGCCCGGCTCCACACACAACGCGGGCGCGCGCGGGGGCGCGCACACACACAGCCCCCCACATTCCCTCGCTGGCTGCCGCCTTGGGCTCTTTACCTCCTGGGCCAAGGTCACACGCGGCGGCGCCTCTCTCCTCGTCGCCCGCCTGCCTGCCTGGCCCCCGAGGCAGTCTCTGTCAGCCGGCAGCGGACGGCCAAGAGCCAGGCTCGTTCATCACACAAACAAGGCGGGCGGCGCGGCTGCTCGGGGGGGCTGGGACCGCCAGCGCTGCTCCACAGCTTGCGGCTCCCCCAGAGCTTCAGCAGCAGCAGCAGCAGCAAGACTCCCTCCCTGGAATGGAGCGAGGCCGCCGGTCACGTGGGGGAATGGAACGTCAATGGTGCTGCTGCTGCTCCGCCGCACAATCTGCTTCCCCAGCAGCGGCTGCGCGCCTCTCTCTCCCCAGCGGGAAGGGCGAGCGCGCGCGCGCTCACTGAGCGCCTACTAGCGCCTGCAATTGCCCGCGGGTCGGGCAATAACCTTGACGGGGACTTCGGCAGGATGAGGACCCGGAGAACGGAGCAAGGGGCGGGGGGGGGGTGTAGAATTGCGTTAAAGCAGCCCAAGCTGCGAAGGCGCTGCGGTGGGAAGGGAGGTCGCTTTGCATCCGTGGCGTGCGCTGCTCGGGCTGCTGAAACTTCAAGGCGCGACTCCGATGCCTTTTCTTCAGAAAGCCCTTCCGCAGTCCCCGAAATGTGTGGGGGGGGGAACATCTCGCCTTTTGTTGTTGTTGACATTCTGTGCATGCCCAGAGACACTCTCTTTTCCTGTGGCTGCAGCAGCCCCACTAAGCAGTTGCCAAGCCTGTTCATCAGTTCAATCTTCCACGTTGGCGCTTTACTCCAGGCGCAAATGCTGAAGAGTTTTGCCAAAGTTGTTGCTAGCTAATAATTGAGGAACGCAGCAAACGCGTGGTGTGATAATGTTTTAGTAGTCTGTCAGATCTAGTGCATCCAATTATCTTATTTGCTCCACTTGTTCAGGTTGTAATGTTGTAACAGTTTGATGCTGATAGCTATGTTGCTTTCAGCTGATGTCGAAATGGGAACAAAAATGTGTTGTTTTTATTTTTGAAGCTGGGTAGGGTCCATTCTAAGAGTAAACAAGTGAAGACCCACCCTTTCTTCTGAGGCTTTCAACAAAAACTCTGAATGTGATAGGAGGGTCAGAAGCTCCTCTATTCTGTAACTGAAACCTGATCCTCAGGGTTTACAAAAACCACCTGATTCTATGCCAGAATGCCAGATGATGTCATATACAACACTGTGCTGTTCTGTAGATCTCTCTGAATATAGTCTAATACAAGAGAGAAACTAGGAGGGGGAAGTATGCTTGTTTTTGCATGATTTCAGTTTAGCCTAATAAAATATCCACCTGCTGACTAAGGCAAACAAAGCAGAGTTGTGTCTAAATGCCTCCTCAACATTCTCCACTGTATTTTTTGGCAGAGAAACTGGGGGCTGGGGGCGTGTGTGGTTTCTCCTGGCAAAGGGGGAGTTCCCCAGCAATTTTTCAGTGTTGGGATTCACCACTAGCAGTGACACAACTTCTGCTTTCTTCTAGGGATCCAGCCCCCAGCCAATGCAAATGGCAGAAGCAACTGTGTTGGCAACCCAACCAACCATTCTGCCTCCTCCCCAATGCTCAAGATCTAGCCTGGTTCCAGGGCATTATGGGTGGGAAATGGCAGCAGGAGGGGGTGGAGTGCCACGGACTATTGGAGAAAATTCTGCAAAGTGACCTTAGGGATGAGAAAAGGGGAAAGCTCAATTTTTCTCAGAAGAATACCTTCTGATATATATTTGTATTCTCTGCTCTAAATATATGGTATATAATTACTTGTGCACAATGTGACATTTTTTTGCACCCAAAGAACTACAGAAATGGAAAGAGATGCCACACCACAAAATAATTTATTTGGCTAGCATCCATAATGGTGTAGAGATATTTCCTTCTGTTCTTCACTTCTGTTTTGTTGGTCATAATTTAGGGCCAGTTAACATACCCTTTTCTTATATAGCAGCTATGATCAAGAAATGGTAAGTTTCCTTCCTGGGGTGCAGATTGTATGGTAACAGGCCAGTAAATATTCTGCTATGTGCCATGAACACAGCTCATCATATTTTTGAAAACCTTTACAAAGTGAGATGAGTCATACAGTGATAGACCAGAATCAGAATATCATAGAATCTAATTACAAGGTCATATTGGTGATGGAAAAGGGAGCTATCATTTAATTTGGGGAAAATATACACATTTAAAAAATCCCTATGGTGTAACTCACTGTAATGTGGACATTCCTTTACTCAATCTCCCCAGCGTCAAGGTCCAAATTTGCTTGTCATGGGCATGTTGATACAAAAAGGTTATGAGAACTGGATTTTGGGGTTTTGTGAAAGCATGACAATCCCAAAACAAGGTCAAATATTATTTAGCTCACAAAGTTAAACTATAGCCCTCAAATTAAAGGAAAACTTACAAGTTATGATCGACACAAAAATAATTTCCCCCATAATACAGGTTGGTAAACAAATATGACATGCAGCTACTGCCAAAACATATGACTGCCATTCTGTGACATTATGACAAACATAATTACAAGTCAATGGTGTCAAATACAGAGCATGGCCCAGCTACAAGAAAACTTATAAATCCATTTGATTTCAAGCCTTAACACCTCCAATTTAATCAATGGGAATTAAAATTGTTTAACTGCAGTTGCAACAGCACCCTATTTATTTTTATTGATCTAAAGAGTAAAAGAAATTTAATCCAGAATTACTTCTGCCAAAATGGATGCCTTTTACTGGAGCAAAATATTATTCCCATTAAATGTGCTTGTTCTATTGTCCTATTTTTATGATTGAACAGATTTTAATATTGATACAACTACTAAATGTAGTTGTATCAATATGATAAATATCATATGTATGTTTATAGAAGGATAAAATGCATAGAATTCTTGCTAAAGTTTTAAAATGAAAACTTCATTCTCAAATAGGATTTTTTTAAAGGATCCTTTAAGAATTTGAATTGGTTCTGATTCTGTTTTTTGCTCTCACAAACAGACAAACAAGATCCTTGAAATCTTTTGCCTATAAAGTTTTTCTTCAGTTTTATACATCTGTCTTGTTAAAACAAGCAGCAATATAAAAATATATAGTTAACATTATTTGGGTCTAGATTTTAATCCAGATGATGCTAGCAGGGACATGTTATTACTTGCAGTGTGCACTTAAAACAATAATTATTCATGCTGTTAAAAATTACTGTTCCCAGAGCCAATAAGCATTTTAATCATGTTATTATATTTGATTCAAAAACTAATTGCTCATTTTTTGACACCCTTAAGAAAATATTTAGGTTAACAGACAATGAAGACTTTCTTCCAATCAAGCTCAGCAGGGGCCCCTTTTGTTGGGCAAAGACAAATAATGCAATATAGCAAGGGAGATCCACCCCATTGGGAGACAGTCTTGAGTGTGGATTGCTGTTCTGAATGTGATCTGTACACCAGCAAAAGAGCTCTGCATGGTGAAGCATCCAACAAACAGGGATATGCCTGGAGATAGCAGGATATAGGTAAAGGCAAAGGACCCCTGGATGGTTAAGTCTAGTCAAAGGCGACTATGGGGTTGCAGCGCGCATCTCGCTTCAGGCCGAGGGAACTGGCGTTCATCCACAGACAGCTTTCCGGGTCATGTGGCCAGCAGGACTAAACCACTTCTGGTGCAATGGAACACCATGATGGAAGCCAGAGCGCACGGAAACTATACAGCGGTACCTATTTATCTACTTGCACTGGTGTGCTTTTGAACTGCTAGGCTGGCAGGGACAAAGCAATGGGAGCTCACCCCGTTGTGGGGATTCGAATCGCCGACCTTCTGATTGGCAAGCCCAAGAGGCTCAGTGGTTTAGACCAAAGCCCCACCTGTGTCCCTTAGCAGGATATAGGTATAACTATAGATATGTTGTTGTTTTGTTGTTTAGTCGTGTCCACTGCCTCTATATAGGTATATAGAGATTCCTGCACTGCAGGGGGCTGCACTAGATGACCCTCAGCTGCCCCTTCCAACTCTACAATTCTATGATTCTCTATACTGCTACTTCTAAATATTATTATTATTTTAACTAGCATTGATAGTGAGCTCAGGTGAACACTGAGTTACCAGTCTCCAAGGCAAAACAGTCTAGGCTTCTACATTCAGAAGATTTGGATCTGCATTAGCGCTGTGTGGTGATTGTAAAGCATTACCAAATGAGTGGCGAATGTGCATGAGTGATTCCATCCACAGTTCATATATGATTCAAGTTGGATATATTATGCAATAATATCTTAAGGTACAGTCCATGCTCTCAGAGTTGGGTCTCATGTGTAAGAGCATGCAAGCTAGAGGTTTCTCATGGGGTCATGGCTTGATACACAGACTCCATGGAGGAGCTAGAGACTACACACCACCCCAAAACCGAAGGTTCCTTGCATGGGAGATACAAACAAGCCAGCTATCTCCAGCATGGAATCTGAGCTCCCTCCACCAGCGTGGTGTTAGCCCCAGACATTACCCTGGAATAGACTTAGGTTCTACTACATTGTCACTTCAAGGATTGTGACAGATGGCATCAAGTACAAATGGGAGCACTCTGGTTCTGCTATCCAAGAAGCCAATCATTGGAAGCCATCTGTTTTGGAGGCAGTCCCCATATGTAGACATCTGCTAATGATTGACAGCAGATATGTCAACCCTTCAAGAAGCCACAACAGAGCTTTGAGATTGAAAATCTGGAAGCTTATCTTGGCTTCCAATTATTTAAGGTGTCAGAAGACAGCTCACCTTTGCTAGTAACATGTAACTGTTTTCCCATATACCCCCCCCCCTGCATTTTCTGGGCAGGTTGCTCTGAGTCACTATGGACCTGGATAAGAATCTCAACTCAATGCAAAACGCACTGAAAGAACAGGAAGGAAGCATAAGCTCTTTTAACTGCATTGATTTTGTGTGCAAATGCTTGGTTCAGATTAAGTGAGTGAAAAATAATCCATTTTATCTTGAATATGTCACCTAAAACTACGATTACCTACATATGGTTGCACTATGCCATGAGCAGAAAATCCTTATCTATAGATAGATATTAGACACTTGAATAAGGCACCCCCTAAAATAATGCATCTTGTGTGAAGATGGATAGATCAACTTGTATTTCTACCACCTTTTCTCTCCTCCCTCCACCACAGCCAACAGTAATGTATACACAACAACAACAGCAGCAGCATGCATGTCATGGGTTGGCAAACTAAGGCCCGGAGGCTGCGATGCGGCCCAATCGCCTTCTAAATCTGATCTGCAGACGGTCTGGGAATCAGTGTGTTTTTACATGAGTAGAATGTGTCCTTTTATTTAAAATGTGTCTCTGGGTTATTTGTGGGGCATAGGAATTTGGTGATCCCCCCCCCCCACCATATATGATAGATAGATAGATAGATAGATAGATAGATAGATAGATAGATAGATAGATAGTCCGGCCCACCACAAGGTCTGAGGGACAGTGGGCCGGCACCCCTGCTGAAAAGGTTTGCTGACCCCTGATGCATGTGGTAGTAACACACAACACATGCAAGCTGCATGCTTTTACTTGAGTTGTTAAGAGTGAACACTTACTTGAACATATGTTGACAAACAGCCACCACCTCCACTACCTTTCACAGCATCATAGA